CTGTGTCCTACCTTTCAAACATTTCAGCATCTTTTTCTGAATCCGACATTGTAGCATGGCATAGACAATTCACGTTTGCAGTCTAAAGAACACCTGCTTGCTTCTAATGATTTCCTTTAGCTAACCAATGAGTGTTTGCGTTATATTACTCATCCAATTACACTAGTTTTCACTAGATGTGGATGGAGCCAATGATCTGCAATGGATGGCGCACATGACGTGAAATAAATATTTGTAGACATTAAACCAGAGTAACAAGTAACGTTTGTTTTAAAAATGTAAGGAATAGAAAGTACAGGTACTTCTGTGAAAATGTAATGAGTAGAAGTCAGAAGTAGGAAGAAAAATAAGTAATGGAGTAAAAGTATAGATACCTAAAAAGTGTACTTAATATACAGTAACAATGTATTTGTAGTTTGTTACTTGACACCTCTGTTCGTAAGGCAGACACCCTGTCTACTTTTAAGGCTAGGCTTAAAACTTTCCTTTTTGATAAAGCTTATAGTTAGAGTGGCTCAGGTTATCCTGAGCTATCTCTATAATTAGGCTGCTATGGCCTTAGACTGCTGGAGGACATAGGGACCCTTTTCATCATTCTGCTTCATGCTATCTCTATTCACCCATTCTGCAGAATTCGTCAGTTCAATCTCTAACATTATGCTCTCTCTGCTTTTTCTCATAGTCTAGTCTAGTCAGTTCTGGTTTGGCTGTGACTCCATCCTGGAGAGAAATATCAGCTGTGCTGCTGCCATCAACACTGTTGTTTATAGATGTTGGGGCATGTTTTTTAATGTAGTCCTGTTTCAAATACTGTGATTGATTGATTGATTGATTGATTGATTGATTGATTGATTGATTGATTAATTGATATTATTGATCTCACAGTGGAGAAATGTACTCGTTACATTAGCTCAAATAGTCAAAGGAGAAGAAGAAGGTGCCAAAGGAAGAAAAAAGTAGATGGGATAAATACAGTAAAAACAGTGCATATGACAGTTTTATTTTTTAGTTTTCATAATAGCATTATTACACAGGGCTATTGCACAGGTTATTTACATGGGTATTTATATAGATGGATATTTATACATATAGTTATTGCACTGGGTGTAAAATATAGAGAAACTGGTTATTGTACAGGGTATCAAATAGTAATTGCACATTATAGATTGCACAAGTTATCCTATGAAAGGCTGCTTGTTCTAACTTATTTAGATTAGAAGTAAAACATAATTATTGATGACTGATCAAAGGTTTATTAGACAGAATGTGACTGAATTGTATTTTTAACAAGCTGCTCAAATTTGCTCTTAAATGTGCTTCTCACATCATCTTTCTGTGTCCTGTTTTTCAAACTCTACCTTATCTCTCTCCTCTCTTCCTTAATCTTTCTCTCTCTAAGGGCGCTTCTCCAATGGGGAGTGTGGATCAGCCTGGTGTAACAGTGGGATGACATTAATAATTGGGTTAGAAATGGTCAGGTTGCTAGATGATGCAGTCCCCAATTACAGCCAAGAAACAAAATAAGTGATGCTAACAGCGTTGGCTGAAGCCAAGCTAAGCACAAGGTCAGCTTAACTCCACAAGAAGCTTATAAGTTGGAAGAGGAGGCATAGACGTTGTCATCACCAATAAACAGCAATGATGGCGTCCTCCACAGAGGACCAAACTGTGGCAGCTTTGGGGAAGCAAAACACAGCATCTCCAGTCAACAGGCCTTAGAGCATCTGATATGAGTGGAAAATCAAAGATTTGAAGGGTGATTCCATGTAAAGTGAGCTATATGCAGAATGACTGTGGATTGGAGTGTCTAATGTGGCAAAATATGGAGGTTCTGAGTGGTCACCAGGTGTGTTGCATGAGTAAATCTGTTGGCATTATTACTTCAGTGTTGCTCTCAGCATTGCCGGTTGGTCAGTAGGGATAAAGGAGAACCATCATAAAGACATCTGTAAGCCTTGAACTCCACCAATCGACACTTTATGAAAGCATGACAAAATCTATTGTTTAAAGTTACAAGTTTCATTTTTTAGTTTGCTACAAGAAATCCGATGACTCATGCTGATGGCAGGAGAACGGGCCTTCTTTTTAGTCTTATTTCCTTATTGCATTGTCAGTAACATTTTCCCCTTCTGCCTAATTTTTTGCTGTTTTCTCTTTTGCTGCTTGTCAGCATTTCAAAGAATCCTTATACTAACTGGAAAACCTTATTTTTCTTTGAACTGTAGCAGGACATCTAATGAGGCAGAGCTACAGTCTGTCCTCTTACAGACAAAGTAGAGGATGTTTTTGACTAATATGGAAGGTCGGGTCCAATAATTAGACAGAAAGGCTAGAGCTAAACATGTCCCCTGTCTAGCTCTTAACCTCAACTGTTACACTCAGCATGTTCAAAGGTGTGTAATAACTAGTTACATTTACTATTACATTTATTGGAGAAACTTTTCGAAAAAAGCAAACCAATCGACTTTTTTTTCCAAGTTTGAAGACATTTCGCTTTCCACCGAGGAATTCCTTTTTCAATTCAAAATATCAGAATTTGCATTCGGTTCCAAGCTTTATAGAGTAGCCCAACAAAGTCTTGTTTTTGCTTAGAAAACATGCAAATCCATGTAAAGTGAAGTGCACACAGAACAAATTAGGATTGGAGTGTCTAATGTGGCAATATATGGAGGTCCTGAGTGGTCACCACCTGGTGTGTTGCATGAGTAACTATCACTTAAACATTCAGTGTTTTTAGCAATACCCTTAGATGGTCTGTGGGATGAAGGAGAACAATCATAAGGTCATCTGTAAGCCCTGAATTCCACAAATCTGCACTTTATGAAAGCATGAAAAAACCCATTGTTCAAAGTTACAAGTTTCACTTTGCCACATGCAAATCAGTGACTCATGAGAACAGGCCTTCTTTTCAGTCTTATTTCCTCATTGCATTGTTAGTAACATTTTTCCCTTCTGCCAATTGATTGCTGTTTTCTCTTTTCTTGCTTTTCAGCATTTCAAAGAAACTTTCTAGGAACTGAAAAAAACAAATTTTTCTGTGAATGGTGGCAGGAAATCCAATGATGGTCTGTTCTCTTAGAGACGATGTAGAGGATGTTTTTAACTAATATGGAAGGTCAGGGACAATAATTAGACAGAAAAGCTACAGCTAAACATGTGTCCCCTGTCTAGCTCTTAATCTCAACTATTATTTTCAACATGGTCAAAGATAGGTAGTAACCAGTTGGGTTTACTCAGGTATTTAGTTGAGAAACTGTTAGAAAAAATGTTTATTTACTATAATCTTTACTTTTACCTGAGTAATATACCTGTCAGAGCATTGCTTCTCCTACTTGAGTAAAATGTCTGGTAAAGCTACTCACCAAGAGTAAAGGCTGGGTTATGCTCAGAAAACAGCTCCCTGAAATTGTAGGTGACCACAGTAGTGCTGCAGACCAGACATGGGCAATGTGGAGTCAACAAGTCATCTCCATGTCATGTATTTGTTCTACCCAGCCACTGAAGCAGGTGAGTCCAATCTTCACCTTGAATTAACCTGTGCAGATTGGACTCACCTGGTTAATTGGCTGGGTAGATTAAATACATGACATGGAGATGACTTGTTGACTCCACATTGCCCATGTCTGTCGCAGACAGGAGGCCTCTAAGTGGTCAAGGCTTCCTCCGCTCTACACTATGAGTATTTCCTGGTTGGTTCCTTACCGGCTAGTTTTGTTTGTATTGTGGAACTTGTGAAGGAAGATGGACCAGCTAGAAGAGCGAGGTGCGCGAGAACGCTGGGACCCTTTTTCCACCTGGATCCCCGCTCTTTTTCACCCTCATGTCCCTCCGTTGTCTCACAAACTTGCTCCTTGCATTTTTCCACTTCCTCACCCCCTCGGCCGTATCTAGATCCACAGCTAGTTCGTGATCGTCCCTCTTGCGTTGTGGCGTGGAATAGCATAGCGCACACCACGCTTCAATATTGAGTATAAATCAAAAATATCTGCATCATACCTGCTACACACTGCTGCAGGAGTATAACCAGCCCTTTATTTGAGCTATTTGTGATCAGCTATAAAGACCATTGCAGATAAGAACCAACTATATACAGCAATATAAAGTAAAAAAAACAAATGACCACTAAAAGTTCTTTACCCTTTCCTCCTACAGCATAATCTTTAAGTACTCTACCCAACTCTGAGCATGGAGCTGAGACATCCAAGATTGTAGAACAAGCTTGGAGGAGTTATACAACCTTAAGCTGAAGTAGAAGTGGAAGACTGTGTGAATGATTTTATCTTAATTTTACATAAATTTCCAGGTTCAAATTGAAAATTTTGCTGGCTGCTCCTCATTATCAGTCATGATTAAACAATTTGTTGACTAAACTTGAATTTAAAGACAATCTCAGATAACCCGGTTATAACTCCATTCAGCATGTTGGTAGCTTTATGGCTTAGGACTATTGCAGGAGTTTGACGATTAAGACTTGAACGAATATCTTATTGAAACACCAGGTCTGCTCACACAACCACAAATGCTTTAATTATATAATTCAGTTTTTTTTTTTTCTTGAACTCATGTTCTGTAGTGCCAATTCAGAACAAGTTGCGTCTCAAGGCACTTTAAAGAGAAAATTCAACCAGATCATACAGTCAGTTGATTGCATCGACTCATTGACTTGAAAGAAACCCCTAACACCCAACGTTCTTGTAGCAACAGAGGAAATGAAAATTCCCTTTTAGTGGAAGAAACTTGCAGCAGAACCAGGCAAACAATGATATGAAGAACGACTTCAAGTCTATATCTGATTACATCGATCCATACGTCCTCCATAATCCGTCCTGGTTGGTTCCTATCTGCAATGGTCCGTAGGCAAGCTGTGAGGTAAACCCTGAATAAGTCTCCACAACATCTTAGAATGTCTGAATGATTGATAATAATCAATAAAGCAGTCAGTTAACCAATCAATCAGAATCATTTTATTTTCATCAATCATTCAACCAATCACCCCTTAGGTGGGTTGGTTTTGTAGGTAGTTCAGTCTCCACTTAGTGAGTCCTTGGACCGTTGGTGAGTTGCTCAGTGGGTAGGAGGTGAGTAGAAGAATAAAAAAAATATATAATTGTCAAAAGCTTACAGACAGGAATGAAGTTAAACAGGAAGTTGCAGACTAGCCATAAACTGACAACAATCCAAGTAGAAATGAGGAGCACGTATAGCAGGGAAAATATGTTACATTAAAGGAACAGGTAAGAACTAATAACAACACTGAACTATTGTTCCTAAGTGAATAAGTGTTCATTATGTTTGCTATAGAGTCTATAGGCCTAAACCACACCATCCTTCTCATTTCTATTTCCCTGAATGCTCTTCTTTTGCTGCTTTGCTTTCTTGCATAATAGATGAAACCCCTCCACTACGTTGAGTAGCAGAGACACTAGAGCAGTAACAAGCATGAAGATGATGAAGACTGTTTTCTCCGTGGGTCGGGACACATAGCAGAGCACTTTGGTGAGGCAGGGCCAGCGTTCACAGCTGTACATCGGATCCAAGCCAAATCCATACAGGAAGTAGTGAGCTACAAGAAAGGCCACTTCAAACAGAATCTTGAAAATAATGTTGAAGACGTACGCTTTCAGGACACCACCTTCCAGTGGCAGTTCCTGTACTTCTTCTTTTTTACTTTTACTCTTTAGATCTTCTGTGGTGCTATCTCCTTGATTATTCTCATTGATGCTCTGATCTTGATCTCTTTTGCTTTTCTTTTTTTTCTTATTGATGCTTTGATTTGATTTTTTTATTTCTTTCTTCTCATTGATGCGTTTTTTGTGGAGAGCCAACCCCAGGTAGATAAGTGTTGGTGTGGAGACAAAAATTATTTGCATCACCCAGAAGCGGACATGAGAAATTGGGAAGGTCTTATCGTAACAAACAAGTTGACAGCCTGGTTGGTTAGTGTCACATAAGAAATTGGACTGCTCGTCACCCCACACTTCTTTAGCAGCTGTTACCAGGACAAAGATGCGGAAGACAAACAGCACGGTGAGCCAGACTTTACCAACAGTGGTAGAATGCTTTTGAGCCGTCTCCAGCAGGTCTGATAACTTGCCAAAGTCTCCTCCTCCCATTGTTGTTATAATTTCTGCCTTGCGGTTTACACCACAGAACCTAAAAGAAAAGAGGAAAAGAAGTTCATAACATAGAAATTAAAATAAACATTGAAAAAAAAGCTAGAGGAGACATTTCTAAACTTACTTTTAAGTAACAGCTCTACTAAAACATGACAGTGGCTCTGAAGTGAGAGGAAAAGGACAAATGGTTCTCCAACATCTCTACAAATATATACTGCTCAAAAAAATGAAAGGGAATATTCCTGACAACTTCCATCAAATCCAACTTCTGTGAAATCAAACTGTCCACTGAAATTAGCAAGACACACTCAATAAAGGAGTGGTTCTACAGGTGGGGACCATAGACCACTTCTCAGTACGTGATTTTTTGGCCACTTTTGAATGTTTGTGGTGCTTTCACACTCGTGGAAGCATGAGATGGTCTCTACAACCCACGCAATGGCTCAGGTAATGTAGTTCATCCAGGATGCCACATCAATGGGAGTTGTGTCAAGACGGTTTGCTGTGTTTGTCAATATAGTGTCCAGACTCTGGAGACGCTACCTGGAGACAGACCAGTACAACCCAGCAGCAGGACCGCTATCTCTGCCTTTGTGCAAGGAGGAACAGGAGGAGCACTGCCAGAGCCCTGCAAAATGACCTCCAGCTGTTACCTGTTAAAATTACCTGTTAGCAGGTGTTTGTTGTCATCATTGTTTCTAATCAAGTATAGAGAAACTTACCTTGTTATCAACTCCTCTGGAGCCTTAAAGTGAAGGAGTGTCTTGAATCTCACACTAAATAGTAAAAACCAGAGAGAACCAGTTCCTCATTCCTCTTTGTCAGCTTCACCTTGTAAATGACCTGCACTATATCATGCAGTTTATTTATTTAGTGAGCTGTTTGTCACCTTTTCTTTAAAGCATTTATACACAGCAGTACTATGCAGAAATGTTCAGAACTTTTTCCCCATTCTATTATGATGCTACTAAACTTCAATGTAGTTCACATGAATGTCTATAGTCCTGATACTATGGGGCATGTGCCAAATGCCACAAAATTCTGACATCTTTAAAAAAATAAAAAAAAACAGGAAACAAGTTTATTATAATGGAATTCATTCTAGCTGGCGAGACTACACTTATGTAATGATCCATGTCTCAGGAGCCCAAATAAGTACTGAGAGCACAGAAATGAACATACCTTTCAAAAGCCTCATATCTGTGCTTAAAACACTCTTCAATTGGTCTGATGTGATTAAAATTTTTGGGAATTACATTGATGGATGTTTTGGATATATATATATATATATATA